ACGAGCACTTCCTTGTGGATTTCGGGTCCACAAGGAGTGTCTAACGAGGCCCTGACTTGCAACGACGAAATTAATGCATCACTAAAATTAACGGGTGGGCTGCTTCTAAGGGATGGACTTATGACTCGTCCTTGCTCCTTTAAATTGAGTTCTCTACCCATTATTTTACTGTTTTTTTGCCTCAACCTTTTTTTTTTTTTTTTTTTTTTTTTTTGCCTCAACCAATTTTTAGTTCGCACTTTCAAGTTTTTTTTTGAAACCCCATCATGTTAGGAGTGGGTCAGATTCTTCTGGCAAAACGTGGCAAGATAAATAGTGACCGATGCATCTTGGCACTCTGCGCGGAAATACGCACTTGTGCATTTTTCTTTTCGACAGTGGACCGACTTGAAATTTTTATGTTTTTTTTACATTTGCTCCATTCTATTCGTGGGGAGCTGCACGTGTTGGGAACCGCGCCCAACGTCCCATATAAAGAATATTTGAGGCCGGGTTTCTCACAGTCTACCCGGAAAATAAATACCAAGAGCATTGCACGGCTTCGCTTTCTAAGAGGACTGGAGCAGAACTATAAACTTCACTGAAGTTGCAGTAGTCGTGAAGGAATGCGAGTAGCCCCTTGTTGCCAAAGACACCTTCTATTGTATATAAATGGAGAAATTTGAAATTTCCATTTTTAACCCATCAATGCTCTGTGAGAATAACGGGGTCGCCACACCAGCACTAGTGATGCAATTTTTAACCCATTACTTAAATCATTCATTGCATCCCTACTATAAATAGTAACCGATGCTCTGTGAGAATAAGGGGTTCACATCAATGTTCTTGAGAAATTTGAAAAGAGTTATGAAATACACATGGTGATGGGGCTTTCCCATGGTCAGACTACTGGCTGCTGTTTGCCACTATGCCATTTGAGACTATGAATGAGGCGGTCAAGGTGCTTTATGTCTATGAAGGAAGAGGTGAGGTTTGGAGAGAGGAGGGGATGGATTCAATGGCGTTGATTGGGGAGTTCTTTTGGGGCCAGTCTACCCTGTGAGTGGCTTGACTGTCGTATAATCAGGATTTTACTAATGGTTATTTGATAATAGAGCGTTTTAAATCGTGAGGTCGATTCTCATTGATGATTCTCATTGACGATGGTTTTGATAACTTCCCAATTCATTTTTGTTTTGTATTGTACAAATTCAAAACTCAGGATGTTTTTTTTCGATGACTGATAATTCCATGATTTAAATTATTTTCTAGTATCTTTTAGCACCAACAGTAATCCTAATCAACTTCGAATTCATTTCAATAATACTTTGTTACCTTCGAAAATTCAACTTCAGTTTTTCAAAGTTTCATTGCAAGTTTTCTTTTGATAAAATTCCTAATCAATTACGTCCTTGCCCTCGTGGCACTCCAAGTCTTAATGATACTTTCGTACTTCTTCTTACTATTTTCTTTTTAAATTGTCAATTTTCCAATTTGCTTGAGTCCCAAAATTATAAATTTTGTAATTCCAAATAAAAAATTTCAAATAATTTCAATTGAATTCCTAAGTTTGAGACCTTCGGTCCTTATTTCTTAAATACGGAACTGGATTTTATTCCATCCAGGTCCTTTTCAAATTTCTATTTGCAATATTTACGAGCTTGGTGCTGGTTGCAGTGGTTGCGTTGGTAGTGATGGTTGAGAATAATGCGCTCTGTGGCGAAGGGGCTAGCCTGTAGGGTGGAAATAGGGCACAACGACGGTTGAGATGGTGGCTCTACCGTGGTAAGTCTTGCCGGAGTAGGGAGGAGAAGGAATATTGTTGGTCGATGCAACTAATGCCTGGAGGAGCCGGATGATTGGAACCACAACTATGGTGAGGTTTGGGGCTTGGCTGTTATCTGCTGATGCCTAGGGTCCCGAGGGCTTGCAAATATACGCGATCAGAACGACGGCGGTCGGTGCTGGGGCTTGGTCGCGCTGCCCAGTAACTTGAGTTGTGACAGGGGTACGAGACTGGATATAGAGATTTGGGGAGTTGTCGAGGGAGGAAGGCACTCTAGTGTCTATTGGCGAGCTGATACTTAATCGGCGTGGGCCGGAGCCGGAGCGGGTCGTTTCACTCTGTAGCTTAGCAGGGGGGGTTCTATTTGGGGTGGGTCGTGCCACAGTGACTCTGTAACCTAGCAGTTGGGGGCGTGAGGCCTGGTAGAGATTCAGTATCGGGGCAAAGGGGGTTGGCAGATAAGGTTGGGCGGTCGAAACCACTATGGCAGGTGGTTCTCCTTTGGTCTGAATGTTTTTAGGATCCAAGGTTTTGTTGGCTGTTGAACTCCATGGTCGTCAGTGGGGGTCTTAAGAATGATTTAGGATTCTGGAGATTCCTGAAAACTCTTTTGAGACGGCTCCATCGCTGATATACTTAGTGATCTGCGGCCGTCCGATGCCAGAATGACGCTGGTCGGAGCTGGGGTGTTGCCCTGTAACCTGCTGATGCAGAAGTGTGAGGCCTAGTGGAGAGATCTGGGGATGCTTTGGGGCAGACATTCCAAGGGACAACCAAGGGTTGCCGCAGGGACGACGCTGGTCAGAGCTGGGGCGAGTCGTGTTGCCCTGTAACCTACCAGGATGGGGGCGAGAAATCTGGAAGAGCTCGGTAGGAAGTAAGATAGTGCGGGAGAGTTTTAGAAGGGTTGTTAGGAATTCACAGGGTTTTTAGTATTTGTAGGATCTCTGTGGTGGCGTGGTGTGATGTGGCCAGACTTTTTTTTTGATGGATGCTGTGGCAATTTATGAAGTAGCTCAAAATGTTTTCAGGCAAACAAAGACCTATCATCAAAGGGCGTCCCTGCTCCGTTAATCCCTTGGTTTCCAGGGTAATCAATGCTGGCAGGGAAGATCTTCTTAATTTTGTCTCAAAAAAGAGGTGAGCGGGAGAAGTAGATGGTTGGATATCAAGCGTCCTACTACTAGTGAGGGGTCTAGCTTGTAGGATGGAAATAGGGTACAGCAGTAGCGGAGATGGTGGCTCTGAGCAGTAAGTCCTTCTAGAGCGAGGTAAAGAGGATTGATGGGGGGTTTCTGAGGCATTTTCAAATTTTGCCTATTTTTGAAGTCTGTTGTAGTAATTTTGCCGGAGCGAGGTAAAGAGGATTGATGGGGGGTTTATGAGGCATTTTCAAATTTTGCCTATTTTTGAAGTCTGTCATAGTAATTTTCTAAGTAGATCAAATTTTCTTAGCCAAAGCCGGTTAATGGCCCCGGTATCCCAAACTTTCAAACTTCTATGTAAATTTTCATATGGGATGTAGGGCCCGGTTCCCAGCACGTGCTGCTTACCACGAATAGATTGGAGCCTTGTTCGCCCCCCCCCCCCAAAAAAAAGAGACTGAAATACAAGGACGGTTGGGGGTATGTTGCTTTGGTATGCAGAGGGGTCCTTCTGACCATCTAGCGAGCCAAAAACTCCAAGTTTTTTTGGGGGGAAAACGATGACACTACAACAACCACAAAACCAAATCCGCAGTGAAATTCGTTGGATGATTGTGGGTGATTGTGGCGGACTGGAAAGTATGCTCAGGCTCGGGCCCCATCGCCTGACGGCTGGAAAAGTTTTGGCATGGAAGGGCGTTTTCGGACCCCGCAGGGGCCGCCGGGGTGTTTTCCAGAGGTCTGGCGACGTCGATTTCAGACCCCACCGCCGTTTCCAAAACACCACCAACCGTGCTTCTACATGGCTGGCGGATGGGAAAGTCCTTGCCCGTGGCCGACACTCTTTTCCAAAACGCCCTTCAACAGGGTAGGGAGGGCAAAGTGCCAGCCGTTGGCGTCCGAGGCCGTCGAGGAGTGGTGCAGTGAACGGGCGTCACAGACATACGCTTGGTCCAGGCC